ATATAAGGGAGCCCCAATATGGCTAGCATCTGACTTCTCAACAAAAACCCTGCAAGCCAGAAGGGACCAGCAAGAAATATTCCAAGCAATGAAAAACAAAGGTCTGCAACCAAGACTGCTCTACCCAGCAAGGCTCTCAATTAAAATGGAAGGTGAAATAAGGAGTTTCCCAGAAAAAAGAGGGCCAGAAGACTACACCTCCACCAAACCAGCACTACAGCGTATGCTAAAGGGATTGCTTTAAGATGAAGAAAATGTTTCTATGAACACCCAGTTCCTTTCAGAGTTGCCAATACTTGATATTACCAATATTTTTAATACTCATCAATCTGATTGTGACAATGGTATTATTTTAATTGTTCCTTTACTATTTGTTGAAACTAAACCTGTTTTAGTATGTTTCTTGCCTATTTCTATTATTTAAAAAAAAGCTTTAAATGACTTTTTGGTATTCTTTATCCATTTACTGATTTAAGGTTTGTAGAACTTTTTTCCCTGAACCAAAACCAAAACCTGTGAACCTGTATAACTTTTGAATAAATAGTTCCTTTCTTTTTCACCAAACTCTGGCATTGAAGCCATAATTCCTAAGGGCAGTGGGCAAAGAACCTAGAACAGAGGGACCACGGGAGAGAAGATCATTGTTTCTGTATTGGTATCTGGGCCTCTCACACAGGTTCATTCTGTAACACAATGAAAAGTAATTTGACTCTGTAAATGTAAAAGGCCACACATTATTATCTAGCCAAGAGAAATATCCAAATAATTGCATAAAAAAGCATATACCTGGGTAATCATTACACCTAGCTTACAGTAGCAAAATATTGGAAAAATCAAAATGTTCATCAAAAAGAAGAATGGCAAAATAACTATTACATTTAGATTACAGAATATGATTCAGTGACTAAAAATTATGAATTAGTTCCCAAATAATAGCATGTAAAGAACTAGGAGTTATATTATTGAGAAAAAAAGCAAATTACTGAGTGACATGTATTGGATGACACCATTATATTAGAACATGTACAAAACAAGACAATTGAAGTAAGCCCTAAGGTTGCCCCAGATTGTAGCCTTGAGAGTTACCAAGCAATAGCTGAGAGAGAAAGCTCAACACTAGGTAGAGTCAGTTGAGTTGAAAGAGAGAGAGCTAAGGATCCAGGGCAATCTAGGAAGCTAGAGTTCACAGGAAAGAGTATTGGATAGCAAAGAGCTTAATAAAGAGAGAATTCTGGAGATCAACAGAGGGTTCCCTAAAGTAATCAGCAGAATACTGATTGGTGCTTCATTTGAAAATACTACCTTAAGTAGAAGAAAGCACCATCCAAAAAAAATTAAAGGGAATATTACCCAGTGCTCATATAATGCTGGGGACAGTGAACATTCCAAGAAGTCATAAGGGAAATCTTTGTAGTTCACTGCCATTTTTTAGAATACTCAGAAGGGGTTTGCTTCAGAAATAAAGTATAATTAGCCCTATATTAAATGCTGATCTGGTCCTAGCAAACAAATATTGAAAGACTTAAAAGATCTAACTGTGAATATGTAATCCAACTGTGTCCCAGTATAAAGCTCAAGACTATATATAAACATACAAAGCAACAAGCATCAAACAAGGTAGGGTTCATCATGCATGGCATACAATCAGAGTTTTCAGACATGTGAAGAAGCAGAGGAATATGAACCATAATGAGGAGAAAAGACAGTCAATCTAAATTGACATAGAGAAATGACATAAATAGAAGAATCAAACAAGTTTATTAAAATAGCTCTTATCACTGCATTCTACTATACATTCAAAAATGTGTCCATGAAAGCCTTTATGAGGATGAATACAAAACTAATATTAATTAAATATAAAACATCTTATTTTCATTCATTCTTTTATTGCTTCATCCCCAAAATATTTATTGGATAATTATTTTATATAAGGCTGTATGGTCAGCAATAGGCATTAAGCAGTGAGCAAAGTAGACACCGTGCCTGTATTTTGAGGACTTACATTTTAGGTTAGAAAAATAATAAAGTAGTATGAGGTTTATAACTAATAAGTTAAATCTATCTTGGAGGGCAACTATGAAAGTATGCTATTTTAATATCCTCACATTTTACATTATATGGTATATCACTTCCAGGTAGACTATGATGAGTTAAAGATGTGAAACCTTAAAATAGCCACTTTAGTAACAAAACAAGGATTTATAACTAAAAAACAAAAACAAAGAGAATATAAAGTGGAACATAAAATATACGTAATCCAGAAGATTCCAGAAAAATAAGAAAAAAACTACAATGAAGAACAGATAAAATAAATAGAAACAAATAGCAAGATAATAGACATACCTAATTATGTTAATGATCACATCAAATGCAAATAGTCTAGCCATCCTCATTAAAAGAAAGAAATGGGTAAATGGGCATACTGGGTATATTTAAAAAAACAAGGTCCAATTATATGCTATAGGAAACTCATTTTAAATATAAAGACATAGCCCTGGCTAGTGTGGCTCAGTGAACTGAGCACTGGCCTGCGAAGCAAAGGGTCGCCAGTTCGATTCCCAGTCAGGACACATGTCTGGGTTGTGGGACAGGTCCCTTGTGCGGGGCATGAGAGAGGCAACAACACATTGATGTTTCTCTCCCTCTCTTTCTGCATCCCTTCCCCTCTCTCTAAAAATAAATAAATAAAATCTTTAAAATAAATTAATATAAAGACACAAATAGGATAAAAGTAAAAGAACAATAGTAAAAAAGTAAACTGTCATGCTAAAACACATTAAAAGAAAGCTGAAGAAGCTATACTATTAATACCAAAGTATACTTAGAGCAAAAAACATTCACTCAAGATAAATAATCTCATTTTGTACTAATAAAGGGGTCAATTTGTCAAGAAAAACCAAGTATTCAACACACTCATTTATAACAGAGTTTCAAATACTTGAAGCAAAAACTGATAGAACTATAAGAAGAAATACAAAAGTCCACAAATGTAATAAATGTCAATACCTCTCTTTTCATTACTAATAAAACAAGTAAGCAGATACTCAGAAAAACTAGGGTAAACTGAAAAACACTATCAACCAAACAATTAATGTTTAGGAAAAAATCCACTCAACAACAGAATACACATTTATTTTTCAAACACAGGTACATTTACCAAGATAAGCCATATTTAGGTGAGATTGTCAGTTTAACAAGAGCATAGAAAGAAGAATGTTACATTTGAATTTCAAATAAACATTAAATGATATTTATTTTTTATTAAAGACTTTTTTAAAATTTTTTTTAAATTTATTTTTTCAAATACATATGTCTCTGCCTACCCCCCACCAAGCAATTTTAGATTCACGGCAAAATTGACAGTACAGAGGCATTCCATATACTTCCCGCCCCCTCCCCAAATGCAGAGCCTCCCTCATTATAAACATCCCCACTAAAATGGTACATTTCTTTCAATTGATGAATCTATACTGTCATTGTCGCTCTAACTCCACAGTTACATTAAGATTCATTCTTGGTTTTGTACAATCTATTCATTTAGATAAATGTATAATAACATATCTATCATGATAGCATCATTCAAAATATTCTCACTGCCCTAAAGATCCTCCTACTCACCCTTTCTCCCCACTAACCATTGGAAACCATTGATCTTTTTACTATCTGCATAATTTTGCCTTTTCCAGAATGTCATCCAGTTAAAATTATATAGAATGCACACTTTTCAGATTGGCTTCTTTTACTTAAAAATATTCATTTAAGGTACCTCCATGTCATTTCAAGGCTTAATAGTTCATTTCTTCTTAATGTTGAATAATATTCCATTGTCTGGATGTACCAAAAGCTATTTATTATCTACTGAAAGATATCTTATTTCTTCTTGGTTTTGACAATGATCAAAAAGCTGCTCTAAACATCCTTCTGCAGGCTTAGTGTGAGTATAAATGTTCAACTCCTTTGGATAAATACCAAGAAATGTGATTGCTAAATTTTATAGTAAGAGCAGGTTTGGTTTTATGAGAAACCATCAAACTATGCTCCAAAATCTCTGGAACATTTTGCATTCCCACCAGCAGTGAATGAGTTTCTGTTGCTCCATATCTTCATTAGCATTTGGTTTTATAAGTGTCCTGGGTTAGGGCTATTCTTATAGATATGTAATTACATCTCATTGTCATTTTAATTTATACTTTCCTGATGACACTTGATGTAAAATAACTTTTCATATGTTTATTTGCCATAAGCATATTCTTTTTGTGGAGGCCTCTGTTAAAATCTTCAGCCAATTTTTTTAATTTGGTGGCTTATTTTCTTTCTTTTTAAAAATTTTTTAAAAAAGTTTATTTACTTTTAGACAGAGGGGAAGGGAGAGAGAAACATCAACGTGTGGTTGCTTCTCATGCGCCCCTACTGGGAACCTGGTCTGCAACCCAGGCATGTGCCTTAACTGGGAATAGAACCGGCAATCCTTTGATTTGCAGGCTTGTGCTCAATCCACTGAGCCACAACAGCCAGTGCATGGTGGCTTATTTTCTTACTGTTGAGTTTTAGAAGTTCTTTGTATATTTTAAATAATAGTTTTTTATCAGATATGCCTTTAGCATTTTCTCCCTGTGCTGGTTTGTGGCTTGTCTTTTCATTCTCTTTATCAAATAATATTTTAATATAATTGTGCCCAATGTTATACTTGAGATACATTTATACTAAAAAGAATTATTTGACATTTACCTAAAATTCGAATTGACTGAACACTCTATATTTTATCTGGGAAACTTAATTCTAGGTCATAAAACCAAAATGGAATTAAATTAGAAATCAGTATAAAATAGTTTTTAAAATCTAAATAACACAATTTTATATAACGAACAGGTCAAAGATAAAAATTAAAAAGCATTTAAAATTAAATGAAAATAAAAGAATACCATACAAATAACCAGTGCTCTTCATAAACATAGATGTAACACTTCTAAATAAAGATTTTGGTAATCAAATCCAACAATGTATGCTCACTTTGGCAAACATATACTGAAACTGGAATGATTCAGGGAAGATTAGTGTGTCCCCTGAACAAGAAAGACATGCAAATTCATGAAGTATTCCATATTATTACAGAAAATGTTGAAGGAACTTCTCTAAGAAGAATTTAAAAAGGAATATAAATATGAATAATAAAATGGTACTATGTACACTATGTACCCAATAATAATAACAAATATAAATGGATTAAATGCTTTGATCAAAAAACTTGGGGTAGCTGAATGGATGAGAAAACAAAACCAGTCCTAGCTGTTGTGGCTCAGTGGATTGAGCGCTGGTTTGTGAACCACAGCTTCACCAGTTTGATTCCCAGTAGGGCACTTGCCTGGGTTTCGGGCCACGTTCCCAGTAGGGGGTGTGAGAGATGAAACCACACTCTGAGTCTCTTTCCTTCTCTGTCTCCCTCCCTTCCCCTCTCTAAAAATAAATAAATGAAATCTTAAAAAATAAAATTAAAAAATATATATATGTTATCTAGAATAGCTCCACTTCAGCTCAAAAGACACACATAGACTAAATATATGGAAAAAGATATTTAATGCAATGGAAATTCAAAAAAGCTGGGGTAGAAATATATAAGACAAAGTAGAATTTAAAACAAAGGCTATAATAAGAGACAAAGAAGAATATTACATAATGATAAAGGGATCAATCGAACAAGAGAATATAATCCTTGAAAATATTTATGCAACCAACAAAGAAGCACCAAAATATAAAAAGTAAAGTTTCATGGATGTAAAGGGAGAAATTGACAGTAATACAGTCATAATAGGACACTTTAACACCCTGTTGCCAACAATGGTTAGATCTCCCAGACAGAAAATCAACAAGGAAACAGGCAGCCTTAAAGGACACATTAGACCACATGGATTTAATTTGGGAGCATTTCATCCCAAAGCAGCACAATACACATTCTTTTCAAGTGCACATGGAATATATTTCAGGATGGGCCACACATTAGGCCACAAAAAAAGCCTCAATAAATTTAAGAAGAATTGAAATCTTATTAAGCATCTTCTCAAACCACTATGGAATGAAACTAGAAAGAAATTATTTTAAAAAAACTGAAAAACAAAACAACTGAAAGCTAAACAACATGTTACTAAACAATGAATTGGTTAAAGTGAGGTAAAGGAAAATAATCAAAACATACCTTGAGACAAATAAAAATGAAAACACAGTGAACCAAAATCTATGGAATACAGCAAAAGAAGTACTAAGTGGAAAATTCATAATGATACAAGCCTAACCTCAAGAAACAAGAAAAATATCAAATAAATAATCTAATCATTACTTAAAGGAATTAGAAAAAGAACAACCAAGAAAGCCTGAAGGGTGTATAGGAAGAAAATAATACAAATTAGAGCAGAAATAAACAAAATAAAGTAAAAAATATATTTAAAAAATCAGTGAAAACAAATGCTGGTTTATTGAAAAGATAAACAAGATTAATAAATGTTTAACTAGACTTACAAAGAAAAAATAAAAGAGGACCTAAATAAATAAAATCAGTAATGAAAGAGAATTGGTGACAATTGATATCATGTAAACACAAATGATCATAAAAAAAAATACTCCAAACTATTATATACCAATAAGTGGGACAGTCTGGAAGAAATAGATAAATTCAAAGAAACATTCAATTTTCCAAGTCTGAATCAAGAAGAAATAGAAAATCTAAACAGATCTCTAAAAGATAATACAAAATAAATAAATTAAACAATAAAATAGTAGATTTTATTACCAAAAAATCAAAACAGATCTACTGCTTATGAGTTCAAATCAGTAATTATAAAACTACCAACAAACAGAAGTCCTGGACTAGATGACTTCACAGTTAAATTTTACCAAACACTAAAAAAAAGTTAACACCCATCATTCTCAAGTTATTTCAAAACAATTTAACAGGAGAGAAAACTCTCAAGCTCATTTCACAAGGTCAGCATTATCATGATTTCAAAACCAAACAAACACACTACAAAAAATAAAAAAGTATTCCTGATGAATGTAGATACAAAAATCCTAAATGTAATTCAAATATTGATAAAACAATTCAGCAGAACATTAAAAAATCATACAAATCAATTAATGCAATATACCATGTAAAAAAAGAAAGATAAAAATCACATGAACCTATCAATAGATACAGAAAAAAAAGCATTTGACAAAGTCCAATAACCAATTATGATAGAAACCTTCAGCAAAATGGGAATAGAGGAAACATACCTCAACATAATTAAGGCCAAATATGACAAATCCACAGCTAATATTATACTCAGTGAGTAAAAACTAAAAATGTTTCCTTAAGATCAGAGACAAGACAAGAATGCTTACTTTCACTATTTTTATTCAACATAGTATTGTAAGTTCTAGCCACAGTAATCAGACAAGTTAAATAAACAAAAGGCATCCAAATTGGAAAAGGAGAATAAAACTGTCAATATTTGCAAATGACATGATTATAAATAAGATTCCACTGAAGAACTACTAGAACTGATAAATAAATTTTAGTAAAAGAGCAGGATACAAAATTAATATTCAGAAATCAATTGCATTTTTATATACCAAAAATAAATGATCAGAAATAAAAATTCAGAAAACAACCTCATTTACAATTGCATAAAAAATAATCTAGGAATAAATTTGACCAAGGATGGAAAAGATCTAGATTCAAAAAAATATAAGACTCTGAAGAAAGAAACTAAAAAAGATACAAATAAATGAAAACATATACCGTGCTTGTGGATAAGAAGTATTAACATCATTACAGTGTGCATACTTCCAAAGTAATCTATAAATTCAATGCAATTCCTATCAAAATACCAATGGCATTTTTCACAGAACTAGAAAAACTAATCAAAAAGTTATATGAAATCATAAAAGACCCTAAATATCCATAGCAATGTTTAGAAAGAAGAACGAAGTTGCAGATATTATGCTACCTGATATAAAACTATACTACAAGTCTTTAGTAATCAAAACGTCATAATACTGGCATAAAAACAGACACATAGATCAATGGAACAGGATAGAGATCCCAGAAATAAACCCACACTTATACATACTTATTAGTTGTCTATTAGACAACTAATACATGACAAAGAAGGCAAGAACATACAATGAGATAAAGACAGTCTATTCAATAAATGGTGTTGGGAAAATTGGACAAGTACAAAAAACAAAAGTAGACCACTTTTTTACACCATATACAAAAATAAACTCAAAAACTGATTAAAGACTGAAATGGAAGTCCCCAAACCATAAACATCTTAGAAAAAAAATAGACAGTAAACTCTCTGACATTTCACTTAGTAGTATTTTTTCTGATATATCCCCTCACGCAAGAGAAATAAAAGAGACAATATGCAAATGGGACAATAATCAAACTAAAATGTTTTAGCAGCCAAGTCAACTATTAACAAAACAAAAAGACAACCTACTTAATTGGGAAAAATATTCACCAATGATACATTTTTGGAGAGGTTAATATTTAAATTTTATAAAGAACTTATACAACTCAAGACACACACAAAAGTGCAATCCAATTATAAGTAGCAAAAGAACTGAATAAACACTTCTCCAGGGAGAACATACAGATGGTCAATAGACATATGAGAAAATACTTACTGTCACTAATCATCAGAGAAATGCAAATTAAAACCACAATGAAATATTACCACATACCCTTCAGAATGGCTATCATCAATAAGTCAGCAAACAACAAATATTGGTGAGATACGGAGAAAAGAGAACCCTCATGCACTGTTGGTGAGATTGCAAACTGATGAAGCTACAACTATGAAAAACAGTGGAGGTTCATCAGAAAATTAAGATAGAAATACCTTATGACTCAGAAATTCCACTTTTGGGTATATATTAGAAAAATCAAAAACTCAAATTCAAAAAGATACATGCACTCCTATGTTCATTGCAGTGTTATTTACAATGGCCAAGACGTGTAAGCAACCCAAGTACCCATCAATAGATGATGGGATAAGAAAGAAATTGTTCATGTGTACAATGAAATATTACTTGATCATAAAAAAAGGAATAAAATCTTGCTCTGACAGGTGTGGCTCAGTTTATTGGGCATCTTCCACAAAGCAAAAGATTGCAGTTCAATTTCTGGTCAGGGCAGATGCCTAGATTGTAGGCTTGGTGTCAATAGTTCCCAGTCCCTGGTCAGGGTGCATACAAGAGGCAGCAGATCAATGTTTTACTCTCACATCAATGTTTCTCTCTCTCTCTTTCTCCCTCTCTTCCCCTCTCTCTAAAATTAAAAAAAAAAATCTTTTTGAAAAATCTTATCATTTTTGATATCATAAGTGGACTTAGAAGGTAATATGGGACTAAGTGAAAGAAATCAGATAAAGAATAATATCATATGATTTCACTTATATGTATAAGTAAAGAACAAAATAAACTATCAAATAGAAACAGACTCTTAGATACAGAGTACAGGCTGAGAGTTGGCAGATGAGAGGGGATGGGGGCTGGGAGAAAAAGGGGAAGAGATTAAGAAGTACAAATTGCTAGTTATGAAGTAGTCACAATGTTGTTAAGTGTGGTATAGGGAATATAGTCAATAATAAAAGGTGAGGCACAAGTAGGTTTACAGTTGTTGAGTATACAAAACAAGTTTATTTTTGCATTATTATTTATTACTTAATGTATTACTTTCCATACATACATCTGTAAACCTGCCTTTCCCCCACCCTGTATTGTAATAATTATGTATGGTGCCAGGTGGGTACTAGAATTATCAGGAGGATCACTTCATAAATTATAATTGTCTAACCACTATGCTGCACACCTGAAACTATTATAAAATAATATTGTTGACTGCAATTGAAAAATAAAAAAATAAAGAAAAAATTCAACAGTGTATAAAATTGATATTACACTGTGATTAAGTGTTCATCTCAGAATGTAATACTAATTAAACATTTGAAAATGAATCAACATAATTTATTACATTAACAAAGGAAAAAAGTCACCTGTATAGACACATGAAAACATTTAACAAAATCCAACATCTATTCCTGATTGAAAAATTCTCAGCTAGAAATAG